CACCATTGCACCCAGCCATGACTTGTTTTTTTATTCTTAAATTCACATCCCAGAATTTACCAGTGAATAAGTACCCCTTCAAACTAGGTCTTGTGTCTTTTGGAAAGGTGCTTCAAAGTATTTCATCTTGTTCATGGATGCTGATACAAGGTAACTCTTCGGGTAGGTTTTGTATTTCTCTACTCAGGCCCTACCTGCAATCAGCTTGGCTTATTTTGCTTCATAAGGACCAATGTACTTTAGAAATAGGGCTGCCTCAGTTCAATCATATGTGCTTTAGAAACTCTGAAATGGTTCATGAAAAGCAACAGGTGTAAAAGCTATTAATTCTCAGCTTATTCATTCTGTCGCATGTTGAAGTAACTTGACCAGTGGGGTGGTGAACTGTGATGAGGGCAAGAAATCAGTCTAGATCCCTCTTTAAAGTAGTGTGATGAGAATATTTAATTTAGTTCTTAACTCCATATATGTTGAAAGAATTACCTTATTGCCTAAGGGAAAGATGATTCCAGATATCTTTGGACAAGACAAGATCTGTAGTTATTAGAAGTGTTTGAGCAGTCACTACGTTTCTTGTGTAGCTTTCAGGGCTGCTTGTATTGTTTCATCTGATGGAAGTTTTTTGTTGTTGTATTTGTTTTTTTCCTCTAAGTTAACAGTATAGTGGTGCTTGTCATGCATTGTCTTCCTGACAATTTCCATAAATACAGGTCTTTTAACCTATACTGACAATATTGTGAAGTACTTTTTTAATTTATTTTTTTATTAGCTATTCATGATATTACAATGATCTTGGCAATTCATACATTTGAATCATTGGAGTATAATTTCTCATTTTTCTAATTGTACAGATTACAGAATCACACTGGTCATAGAGTCACCTATAAACATACAGCAATCACAATGTCTATTCTATTCTGCTGCCTTTCCTATCCCCCCTACTCCTCCCCTCCTCTCCCATCATTTCTCTCTATCCAATCTAATGTGACACACTTTTTTTTCTTTTTCTCATCACAACATCATAAATGTATTCTGTATAATGATGAGGTTCTCCTTCCATCTTCCGTGCAACTCCCCTTCTCCCTCTTTTTCCCTCCCACCTCTCTTCCCTATTTAGTGGTAGTCTTCTTCTCATGCTCTTCCTCCCTATCCCATTTTGAGTCACCCCCCTTATATCAGAGAAGACATTCGGCATTTGTTTTTTTAGGGATTGGCTAACTTCACTTAGCATAATCTGCTCTAATGCCATCCATTTCCCTGCAAATGCCCTGATCTTGTTATTTTTTAGTGGTGAGTAATATTCCATTGTGTATAAATGCCACATTTTTTTTAATCCATTCATCTGTTGAAGGGCATCTAGGTTGGTTCCACATTCTAGCTATTGTGAACATTGGTGTGGCTGTATCCCTGTAGTATGCTCTTTTTAGGTCTTTTGGGTATAGTCCGAGAAGGGGAATAGCTGGGTCAAATGGTGGTTCCATTCCCAGCTTTCCAAGGAATCTCCATACTGCTTTCCAAATTGGCTGCACCAATTTGCAGTCCCACCAGCAATGTATGAGTGTACCTTTTTTCCTCCTGAATCCTCGCCAGCACTTATTGTTGTTTGACTTTATAATGGCTGCCATTCTTATTGGAGGGAGATTTATCTGAGAGTAGTTTTAATTTGCATTTCTCTGATTGCTAGAGATGGTGAGCATTTTTTCATGTATTTGTTGATTGATTGTATATTCTCTTCTGAGAAGTTTCTGTTCAAGTCCTTGGCCCATTTGTTGATTGGGTTATTTGTTTTTTTGTTGTTTAACTTTTTGAGTTCTTTGTATACTCTAGAGATTAGAGCTCTATTGTGAAGTACTTTAAAATGATGTATGTATTAATAATTTTATGAAGTGCTAAACAAGTAATTCTGTTTGATAAGGACATAAAAATATGTTTTGGAGTCTTGTTACCTGTCACTTACTAACCATGTAACTTAAAGAACACTTGTTTCCTCAATACTATCCCCTGTCCCCCCAGGGTTAGGCAGACATTTATTTGTCAGGCTGACAGAAAACAGTTTACCTGTAGACTAAAAGCAAATATGGCTTGGGATAAAATAATTGCAGGTAATGCAGGCTTCCATCACAATCCTTGCTGTTAAAGATTAAGATTGAAGTGGGAATTTCAGTTTTCAGAGAGGATATTTTCAGATATCCCTTCCTTGCCACTGGTTACATTGGGCCCATCTCAGAAAAAGCAAGTGGTGTATATTACAAGTTAACAAACAAATACTTCATTTAAAAAAAGGATAGTGTTCACTACACAGTATTGCTAAAAATTTTAGCATAGTCAGTATGTGATCAAATATAATTATTCAACAAATAGTATCGTCTTTTGAAGTTTATTATGATAGCTATAGTAATAGATTGAGAAGAAAATCTTATGTTCTAGAAAATGTATGTGGTACAAGGACTACAAAGACAAAAATTATCCATAATGCCACCACAGGAGATAATCACTGTTTAATTTGACATATTTCTTTTTCAATAGACCTTATTTTTTAACAGTTTTAGGTTTATAGGAAAATCAAGACGGTCTAAGTGTTCTCATATGCTTTATTCAGTTTCCCCTATTAACATCAGTATAATACTTTTGTTGTAATTTATCAGCCAATATTGATAAGTTATTATTAACTGAAGTCCATAATTTAATTAGAGTTCTATAGTTCTCACTTTAATGGTTAGAACTTTTTTTCTTTTCCAGAATCTTATCCAGGGTACCATATTGAATTCTACTGTCATATTTTCTTATGTTTCTCTTGATGATGGCAGTTTTTCCTTGTGATAACCTCGTGATTTTGAGGAGTACTGGTCAGATATTTTATTCCCCACTGTTGGAATATGCCTAATGAATTTCTCATGATAACACTGGGATTACATGTTATTAGGAAGAAGCCCAAGGCAGAGTGTCATTTTCATGGTGTAATCAAGGGAACATATATAATCAAGATTTTTCATAGTTGATGTTGACTTTCAGTTGACTGAGGTAGTGTTTGTCAGGCTTCTCCATTGAAGAGTTGCTCTTGTTTCCCACTTTCTGTACTGTACACTTTGGAAGGAAGTCACTGTGTGTAGCCCATATACCTAAGAGGTAGTGAGTTATGTTAATCCCACCTTAGGGAAATCTTCATAAACTTTATTTGAAATTCTTCTTGGAAGATTAACTTATTCAATCATTTATAGCAGTATGGACTCATGGATACTTACTTTGTATTTTGAGTTATAATCTGATACTATTTGAATCATTCTAGTTTTGGCCATTGTGAACTCTTTATAAGTTCTATTCTGTGCTCTTATGACATTCTCCAACTGGAGAATGTTGTTAATGTATGTGTGTACATATGTGTGTGTGTGTGTGTGTGTGTGTGTGTGTGTGTGAGCTGAACATTTCCTTACATTCTGTTGCTACAAATTGCTGCAGACTCATCTTGTATATTTATTTCCCTAGTATCATCCATTTTTACAAGGTCTGGTTTCACTTACTGGAGAATGGTTTTAGAGACCATTATCTAGGTACTAGGTATGCTTGCTGCTACTGAGTATCATTTATTTCCTCTCAACTGACAGAGCAAAATGATGCCTTTTCACTAACCTGTGTATTTAAGTATATTTATAAATGCATCTATATGTAACCATTAGTATCTACATGAAAAATCTAAGTCCATACTGATGTCTCCAAGTCAAAGTAATTACCAGATGGGTCAGTCTAGCTTTCTCCCTGTGTTTATCTGTAAAATCCCACTTCAATAGTAAAAAACCTGGTTCCTGTCTGTCATCCTTTTACTTACTTGTTCAATTTCACAGTACAAGTATAATAGTATCAGAATTGTTAACATATATCCTGTGGAAAAAAAACTTTATTAAGTAAAGTTTATGTGCTGGTTCTTTTTGCCTTTAGCCTCATAGACTGTATGCATTTCCAGAGTTTTTTAGGTCATCATCTTTCCCCGTCCCCTTCAGCAAGGTTGTTTGATACATTTATAATACAATTAGTCGTGCCATTTTGAATTCTTTCCTGGATTCACCTGATGTTTTTATTTTATTTTGATATAAGGTCTCATACATTCAGTATGATCTCACCTCTGTGTGTTATGTGTAAGTAAATTGCAAATATATTGCATATATTGCAAATAAGTATATGAAAAAGATGCTCATGGTTTGTCTTAAGAGAACTGCAAATTAAAACAACATCAGATTCAACCACATACCTTTCAGATTCATTAAAATAAAAAACCTGACAAAACCAAATGCTGATAAGAATACAGCAACAGGAACTGTTGCAATGGAAATTCATAGTGGCATTAGCCACTTAGAAGACAGTTTGGCAATCTCTTCCAAAGTTAGACATAGTTTTACCATAAGACCCAGAAATCATGTTTTAGATATTTACCAAACTGATTTAAAAACTTATGTTCACAAAATAACTTACCCATGAATGTTTATAGCAACTTTATTCATAATCACCCAAAGCTGGAAGTAACCAAATGTTTTTGGTTGAATGGATAAACATAAATGGATAAACCATGGGATTTATTTAGAAGAATTCCATAAAAGGATGCATTTAAAAAGTTGTTATTGTTAATGATAGCAAAAGGGAAGAGGAGGATATTAAGTATGGGAAAAGAGAGTCCTTATCTTCCATGAGGCTATGAGATGGCAGCAAAGGACTAGAATTTTTCAGTTTTGGTAATCTAGGGGACTCTGGTGTTGGAAAATAAAAAGTTTTTTTTAATTTTTTTTTTATTAGGAGTGTTCAGAGCTGTGAATATTCACAATAACATTCTTTGTCACTATATATTTGGGAATAAGTTGAAACTCATAATATGAGTTAAGTGCAGACTTGGCAGTTTGAGGAAAAAAGCCATCTAATAGCCTCTAATTTTCGACTCTAATCACCAATGGCCTATACTTTTCCCCATGGTTCTATGATTTGAGAATTTCCAGTTTAAGCAAGAATAAGAGAAATGTTTTTTTTTTTTATATTTTTAAAGAAATTTTAAGTAGGTGATATGGCTTGTCTTATTAGTTCTTTTAGTATTTCAAAATGCTTTATGATGAGAGACTGTCAAACATGGACAATAGGTCAGGTAATATCTTCACCTGACTTGGCATTCCCCTCTAATTAAACCATGAAAGTTTAGCATCACATCTGTAGTGGAACATAGGACAACTTATTTAATTTTATCCTGAGTAAATGAATGAATTTGTCAAGAAAGAAAGGAGACTGGTCATGTCACTTGATTTTATAACAATTTTTCACATTTTTCTTTTCCTAAGAAATGAAGATATAAATAAACACATTTTCTTAAAAAGAGAAAGACCAAGCCAGGTGTAGTGGTGCTTGTGTGTAATCCCAGTGGCTCAGGAGGCTGAAGCTGAGGCAGGAGGATCTCGAGTTCAAAGCCAGCCTTAGCAACTTAGCAAGGTCCTAAGTAACTCAGTGAGAGTTTGTCTCTAAATAAAATATAAAAAAGGAGCTGGGGATGTGGCTTAATGTTTAAGTGCCCCAGGGTTCAATCCTCAGTACCAATAAATAAATAAATTAAATAAACAAACAAATAAATAAAAGCAAAAGCCTACAAACATTATTTAGCTGTCTTTCCCATATTGTAACATTTCTTCAACATGGCACAATGTAGAAGAATAATTTTACTCACGTATGTGTGAAAGGAAGTTTAAAATACTGCTAAGTACATAGACTCAGGAACCAGAAGTCTTGGGTTCAAATCCTAATTCCTACTTGATAGCTGTTTCCCTTTGGAAAGTGTTTCCTTTCTATGTGACTGAATCACATTTGGAAAGTAGAAATTCCATTGTTTAAAATTGTGAAGTCCAATTATTGTGAAATTAATAACACAGCTTTATTTTTCAGATGGTCTGACAAAAAGGGGCCAGAAATACAAAAAGGAAGATCAGAAGGACTGGAGCAATTATAAAATAAGATGTAGCAGTGCTACTCAGATATCAGAAGCTGCATATCCCTTGAATCAACTTACTACTGTGATATCAACAGCACTGTTAGAATCGGGCCTGGACTTGCTGAGGGGGTGTCATTTAGTCAACGAGTGCTGCCTCTGTCCCAGCTCCTCCATTCCCGTATCAATTCACACATTGGGAGTTAGGAACCTTTCTCTTTTAGCCTTCTCAATCCCTTCAGTACCTAATAGGAAGCTACTTGTCAAAAGACCCTGAAAATGTAGTTTGATGTCTTCCAGCTCCAGATGTTCAGAAGAGTATATAGCAGGGTAGATAGACTGAAAAGCCACAGATAAATAACCTGTGCAAAGACTTCGTACATATGCACAGAATCTGTATTTTTTTGTAATCTGCAGCTATCTCTAGGAAGAAGAACTTGGGCTGGTGTACAGCAGTGGGGGGATATATTTTTTATTCTTTGCCATTTGGGGTTTGTTTTTAAGGTATTTAGATCACAGAATTGTACTCATTTCACAGCACACATTTTGGCTCATGCAAATTATGCCCCTTTCTTTCTTCCATCGTTACCCATGCCATGGGTGTCTTGCTCCCATATTTTATCTGCACTGAAATTCTTAAAAGATATATAATAAGTTATATTTAATGCTGTTATACTAAAACTTTTTTTTTTCACTTAACATTAGTGTTTGAGATGGATCAATAATACTGTTTATAAATTTGGGTCAGTGTATTTTGCTGCCTGGTATTCTGCCATATGCATATAACTACATTTTCTCTATTTTCCTATTGTTGGTATCTAAGTTGCGTGTACCTGTCTTGCATGTAAGCTGCAACAAACAGTCTAATCCCTGTTTTTTTGTGGATCTGTCCAGAGTCTTTGGAATGTATATACCCACTATGGTAGACAGCCTCTGAAACAGCTCTCAGGGTTCCCATTTCCTAATATTCATGCTCTTGTTTAATTTTTCTTTTATTTTAGGCTAGATCTAGTGATTCTTCTCTAACAAATTGAATGTGGCAAACGTGGTGATATGTTACTTACAAAATTAGTTTACAGGAACATTATGACTTCTGTCTTGCTTTCTATTTCTCATTCTCTTTTTTGAGAGCCCTTACTCTAGAGGAAACAAGCTGCCCTGTTGTGAACTGCCCTATGAAGGGATCCATGTGGCAAGTAACTGATATCTGTAGCTGATATTCAGCAAGGCCCTAAGACTTGCCAGCAGCCAAGTAAGCAAGCTTGGAAATGGATCTTCTGAGGACTTTGAAAAGGTTCACTGACCCTTGAGATGACTACAGCCCCAGCTGACCCTCGATTGCAGTCTTCTGATGCACAGATAGTAAGGTAAGTCACATCTGGATGACTGACCCACAGAAACTTTGCAAAAATTAACATTTGTTGTTTTTACACACTAAATTTTAGGGTACTCTGTTACATAGAAATAGATAATTAGTATACTGATGAATGTGATTGCTATTTGTAAGATATGTGTATACTGAACCAAGAACTACCAGATACCTTTCCTACCATCAGTTCATGAGGATTTCTATTTTCTTACTCTTTTCATTAATGCCAAAACTCCCCCGCCCCTAATTTTTGCCAACTTGGTATGTGTAAAGCAATATATAAAACATACTTTGTTTATTTGGTTACATGCTGAGTATCCTTTCATATCACTTGCTAGTTATTTGGGATTTTCTTTCTGATACATATTTATTATTTAATCTTTCTTGAATTTTCCTGTCTTTCTTGTTAATTTGAAGAAATTTCTTATATAAATAGTCCTTATTGAATTAAGACATTGAAAATATCCCATCTAATAAATCTGCATATAATAGCTTCTGTTAAACAGAAATATTTCATTGTGATGGTTTTAACCATAAATTCTTTTTCCTAAGGTTTGTGCTTCTCTAAGCCTTGTTAGGCAGAACCACCAAATTTTTCAAATAAAGTTCTTGGCATTAAATACTGTTGAATGAATTGAGATGTATTTAAAAAATATAGATAAACTGATTATCTACTATTGCCCATATCACTTGAATTTTCTTTGCAATACCAATGTCAATTATTATTATTTTTTATTGCAAATAATGTGGTAACTGTTAACACATTCATAAATCCAGATAAAAGGTGTGGAATAAGAAGAACCTAATAAGGGTGAATTGATGCTTCAGTCTCAAAATGCCAGAAATGGTAATAATAACAAAGCATGTTGCAAAATACTTTTTTTAAAATGTGGTTTTCTACCTTCCCCAGGGTGAAGAGGAAAAGCCCCAAATCCTTTTAATAATTTTAATTAAAATGGCCACCAGATGGCACCAATGCCTGGTAAGTACTTATAAAAATCAGAAGCATTGTTCTCACATTTATCTTAAAATCTGTTAAAGTATAAATGTATTGACAATGTAATTAAGGAGATAATACTTGCCCCTCCATGGTAAATTAGCCTTGAAGAAATCCCCTTAGGTTGGGTGAAATGTATATCCTTTGTGGTTCTGTAGTGAATAGTACTTACTGATTCCTCTGTAATTATTACTTGTGATTATTTTTTTCATCTGAGGTAGAGATCAGGACATTTTCACTTGTACTAAACTCTGAATAGTGTGGCTTTTATGTATTTTTCTAGTGATCTCTGGGTTATGACTTAAAGTCAGGTTGGGGAGAAATAAAATCTAAAATGTAGACTTGCCAATTTAAACAGGCCTTTCAATGTTTATAACAACTATAGATTTGGGGAAATAATGGAAATGAACATTTTAGTGCTTTAATTTCATGTATTGAATTGATAGTAAAAAAAAATAGCCAATAATGTCTATTTCATTTACTGGACTGAACTACAAAACCCATTTCTTTTTGGAAAGGGCCACAGAGACACTTAGGATTCTTAAAAGGTACATTTATTTATGAATTAATATGTCCAAGGACCATAAAACTGAATTCAAAGCAACCACCTGAACTCCAAATATGAGGTTTTTAAAAAACCATGTATCCTGAATGGCACTAATGAGGCTCAGGCTCTGACTGTGATATTTGATTATCCTCCAAAGGTTTCTATTGGCTCTCTTTCTCTCATCTTCTTAGAAGTGGCATCTTCCCTGTGTTACTGGAGCAATGAGAGGCGCAGCCCAGTATTAGGCTTTCCCTCCTTGGAAAACATATGTCTAGAACCTGCTGTTCACTTGCAGCTGTAACTGGTAAGATTTTACTATTGAATGTATATATATATCTCCTCACCCCCAGTACTGAGGTTAGAACCCAGGGTCCTCTACTACTAAGCTACATTCCCAGCCCTTTTTAAAATTTTTTAAAAAGTATTTATTTATTTAGTACTGGGAATTAAACCCAGGGACACTTAACCACTGAACCACACCTGTAGCCCTTTTTATATTTTATTTAGAGATAGGGTCTTCCTAACTTGCTCAAGGCCTTGCTAAATTGCTGAGGCTGGCTTTGAACTCACAATCCTCCTGCCTCAGCCTCCTTAAATCTCTGGGATTACAGGCTTATGCCACCAAGCCTGGCCCCCTTTTATTTATTTATATTTTTTATTTTGAGACTGGGTCTCACTAAATTGCTCAGGCCCCAGGCTGGCCTCAAACTGGGAGCTTCCTGTCTCTGCCTTTCAAGATGCTACGAAGGCAGGCATGTACCACCACACTTGGTTTATTAAATACGCTTTTAAAAATAATTAATACCCACATTTCCTTGAATGTGATTAGTGAAGCCATAGCCCTTCAAGAAAGTACTTGGAGAAAAAAAGTGTTCTGTCCTTGTTTTTAATTCCCAGCTTACTTTATCATATTAAAGACTCTCTTGAAGCCCTGCAGTAGTGGTTTCCAATGAATGGTACTACTCCTGGGGGATGGTTTGTAAATTGGTAGGAGTGTTTTTGTTATCTCGTTGATTGGCCCTGGAACTGTGGGTGGACACTACAGTCCCATGAAATTAAGAGTTATCCTTCACCCTCTGGGACTTCTGTTTGTCCTGATAGTCTTATGGCTGTATATAATTAAGATTATTACCTAACTTTGTTTACATATAAACAGAGAGTAGTTGAGATTTTGTAAGAGACACTGAATGTTTATGAATGTAATAATTATATAAACCAAGAGAAGACTGTATTTTGTTTTGCTTTGAACTTTACCAAGAATTATTCACTATTTTCAAAGGGTATAGCACCAGCAATTTCACCAGTTGTACTTGAGTTGCTGACAGAGCATAACCAGGTAGATGTCAAGTTGTGTTTGTAGATGTCAAGTTGGAGATGATTCTTCTTTTTTTATTTTTTATTTCTTACATACATGAAAATAGTAGAATGCATTACAATCATAATTATCCATTCATGGCACAATTTTTCATAACTCTGTATATAAAGTATGTTCATGCCAAATTATGCCATTATACATGAGCTCTCTTATTTTTTTTTTTTTGCATTACAATTCTTAATACACCTTTATACCACAATGTATCATATTTCTGTTTGTACATACGGTATGTTGACACCAAATTCACATCTTCATACAAGTATTTTGTATAATGATGATGGTCTCCTTCCATCATCCATGCTATTCCCCTTCTCCCTCCTTTTCCCTCCCACCCCTATTTCCATTACCACCTGGAGATGATCCTTCATATAGAAAGAAACACCTGACCACTTTTCTATTTTGGTTTTGTTATACTCATGCATCTACATATTGTTGTGGGATTTTTGGAGATTATGTTTATGAAGGACATTCTTATGAATTTTGTTTCAGGATGATAAAGGAGGTGTTAGAAAGATACATGTTTACTGAAAGGATACTTTGGGTCTGTTAGGTCTGTGAACTACTATCCTAAGTAAAGAAATCTGGAAGAATTTTCTTATTCCAGCTAAATTTATTTGATAATAGAACATTTTTTTTTGATGCCTCTTGCCAAGCTTCCTTAAGTGATTTGCTGAGGTTTTCATTTGTCCTTCTAATTTGAGTGTACATTTATAACATCCGTCATGTGTATTTTCAAGCTTGTATTAGTTAACAGAGATCAGAGCTGGAACTCAGACAAGACAAAACTACAAGAGGAGCCCAGAGTGGGGAAAGGTGACCCATATCTTATCTGAAGGCAGTGGTGAGCATGTGGGGGAACAGAAGTGAGGTGCAGTGAGACCAGCCTGTAAATGGTGATAAGATCCTACCAGAGGTGGCATTGTGTTCTCATATTTTGTGTGCTTGCAAGAGAGGATTTCAAGCAAGACTGGAGACTTAGTAAAAGTATAGCAATGTTTATTAGAAGGAGAAGAAGGGGGAAAAGATACTGTCAAAATAGGGAGAGACAACTCACTTTTTTGTGAGCTCATTTTTATTGGGGTAGGAGGGAACTTTTAACAATAGGATTACATAAGATTTCAGTCATTTTGGTTTGTGTAAAGGTCACAAAGGCCCTCTTTCATCTGGGTCCTGCCTGGATCAGGGTAACCTGTGTTTTTTTTGTTTGTATTTTTTAATCAGAGAAGGAGTTTTTGGACATGTATTCCTCAACTTTGAGGGGGAAGAATAACCTTGGAAATAGTAAGGATTGTAACACATTATTATCTTTTTAGCCCAAAACTGGGTTAGAATGGCCTTTTGTGAGCTGCTTCAAAGAAAGACATGCTGAAGGTTAACAGGTGGGTTCAGTCTGTAGAATTAAGCCTTTAACTCCATGTTCCCACCACTTATGACTCCGTGCATGCAAGCATAGGAAGGTCTGCTTGCTCAAGGTTGAGCCCTATGTACTCTCCATACAAACAGATTAAGGACTTCCCTTACATGTTTCTTGATGCTTTAAAGGAATATCTGGATTTTTTTAAAAAAATGTTTCTGTTGTGATGAATTATTCCTATGGTCATCCATATTGTGATTTTAGACACTTAGAAGCCTGATATAAAGACAGTTTACTTTATATTCCTCTTACCACATGCCAAAGATAAATGCATCATAAAGAAAAAAGAAAGATAGGATGATTTGTTTTGAACATTCCACCAAACATTTTCATAAAGGATATAGTAGGTATTAAGAGGTTAGATGTTTTGAGGGTTAAACAGTCCACTACAGGAATTTGTCACCCAAGAAACTCAGAGAGAAGCACTTGACAAATTATATGTGGAGATGGCTAAACAAAATCAGTGTATTATAAAACGTTTCCTGTTGGCAACACTTGACCAAGATTAGGAAATCACAAGGTTGGGAATCAGCCTTCTTGTGCTCCTGCTTTGCTGTGAAACCTGGGAATGTAGTTAACCTCTGTTGATGTCTTACGTACCTCATCAGATTTAATAAACATCGTGACAAATGGGGGTGGGTATCTTAACGATGGAAATTTATTCATCATCTATGTCACAGTCCTCTCCCATGCTTGAAACCATGGGTAAGTCTGTGCTCAGGCCACAATTGAATAAAAGTAACAGGTGTATAGAATACAAAGAGGAACTAAAATTCAGCCTTCTGAATGACTACTTTAAAAATCCTTGGACTGGGGTGTAGCTCAGTGGTAGACCACTTGCCTAGCATGTATGAGGCCTGGGTTTTATCCCTGGTATTGAGGGAAAGCACTCACTTATCATGGAAATATTCCTGTTTCTCATATTTGAACATGGGAAAGCCCCAAACTCCTCAAACCCTATTGTTTGGCAAAGAAGTAGTATACAGAAACAGCTGTTGTATACACAAGGAGGGCATTTCATCACAACTGTAATGATGCAGGCAGATTGGCCATGAGACTGGGTGAGTTTCCCAGCTCCACCTGGGGCTTGACTCACCCAGTCTGCCTGTGACAACCTGTCTGTGGCATGTTTTCTGTTTTGCTAGATTGCCTCTCACTGGTTGAAAAGATGACTTCTCACTACTGAGACCTGTGTAGGCCTGCATATTGGCTTACTAAATGGAAGCTTTTCCTATTCTGGGGTCTTTCCTCACAATATGCATATTTTGATTTAAATGCATTTCATACTGATGCTTGTGTTAGGAAGCATGAAGTAAGTCAATAACTGGCTTTCTTGTCTTTGTTTTGCTACAGGAGAGAGCTGTTTTATTTGGACTGTATTAAAAATTGACAGTACCTCATTAATCTGCATAATTGTTATGTTTTTACCTATCTGTTTAATTTTTTTAAAAAAAGAGGTAATAGTAGTGATTGATTCCAGAAATGCTTTATGCTGCATTTTGGCTATTCCTTCTAGCTGTGCCCCTGCAGTAGTGACTATTAATCACTAATTCTAAACTCACATGAAGAGTATCAAACAATACCTATCACCAGAAATCTCAATGGAATTACCTTTGTCACCACTTCAGACTTTATGCTTTTCTGAATTGTTACCATAGGGTTGAAGTGTCTAGAAAACTTCCTGGTTCACCTTTTGAGTGATTGACAAACGTTTACAGGTATTTTGAGGACACCTTGTAGATAGCTGTAAAGTGGTAAGTTTGTTGACTGGATTCATTCATTCATTCAACACGTTTATTAGGTATCTACTTTATCATGCTCTGTTTTAGCTATTGGAGATACAGCAGTGAATAAAATAGAAGTTTTCTCTAATTTAACTGAAGAAAATAGTCAAAAACAAAGGAAATGGAGCAATTGGTTATTTGAGCATAAGAAATACATGGAAAAAATTAAGTCAAGGCAGAGGATGTTGGCTGCTACTTTGGGAAAGCAAGTAGGAAAACATCTCAATTACACATATTGTTGTATGGGAAGGCCATACTGAGTGAGAGGAAAGGCTTGATGAAAGGGAAGGAGTGAGCTTGTGTATGTATCATGGAGAAAGATGTGAATCAGAGGGAGCAGTAGATACAGAGGCCCTGAGGGAGGAGGTGCTTAGTGTGTTGAAAACATGTAGTGCATACTTTCTACATTCCAAGCACTGCCATAAAAACTTTACCTCCATTAGCTCATTTAATCCACCATGCATTCTTCATTACTCATTCACAGATGAAGAAATCGAGGCTGAGACAGGTTGCATAACTTGTAGAACCCAAGCAGACTGACTCAAGTCTACTTAACCTCTCTACTCAGCTGCCTATGTCTAATCCCTTGGAGATGTGGAAGGCATTACTCATTTTATTGCACTGTGACACTTTGCTTTCAGGAGAAAATATTTTTCTGATTTTCACATTGACATGAGTTGTGCTTGTCTTGAGTAGCTGGTTCACTTTCAAACTTATAAACACTGTGATCTGTGACAATGATTACTGATCATGTTTTTTTGTTAGCCATTAAATATTTAAAGGCCCAATCATTTTGTTTTCTTTCTTACTTCCTGTT